GTACCTCAAGGGAGGCAGTGAGGAGGATGGTGCTGGTCTCTCTTCAGTGGTGGCCACCGACAGAACTAGAGGTAATGGCCACAAACTGAAGCACCAAAAGTTCCACAGGAACTTAAGGAAAAATTTCTTAACAGTGAGGGTGACAGAGCACTGGAACAGGCTGCCTAGAGAGGTTGTGGAGTCTCCTTCTCTGGAGATCTTCAACCCTGCTTGGATGCAGTCCTGTGCCACGTGCTCTAGGTGACCCTGCGTGTGCAGGGGGGTTGGACTAGATGATCTCTAGAGGTCCCTTCCAACCTTAAGCATTCTATGATTCTATTATTCTATAGTAGATTTTCACACAGACCCATTATGAAGGTCATCCCTATTAGATCCATATGTAGATGCTTCTACCAGAGATCTCCTGGGGCCAAATATGGGACATGGCCTGAGTCTACCCAAAGATGGATCTCTAATGTAAAGAGCAAAAGGAACTGTTTAAACTGAGAGCATGGCTTATTTATTCAGACAAAGAAAATGCCAGGAGAATGTACAACACCTCTGTCGTGTGACAAATACTCCTAGAGAGATACATAGCTACTGACAGGAACCTGCTCATAGGGTAGTGTTCCTTGCAAAAGCTACTTGATAATATATCTTGTTTCGTGACAGGTTGGTTTTTGATAAGCTCTAATTGGCAGCCCCTGTCTCGGAGGCTGCTGTGTGGATGCGGGAGTTGGTTTGCTGCTGATGCACAGCTGAGTCAAGGGCTCTCTCTCCTGGCAAAAGGCATGATTGCATGGCTGGCTCCCGGCCCCAGCCTGGCTGCAGGTCCAGCAGCAACCCCAAAGTCAGGCCTTGAGGCCCTGAGGGATGTCATGTTCATCCCCCTACTTTCAATATGCACTGACATCTGTCACAGATGAATCTCTTTCTTGTCTCATTTCCTTATTTTGGTCAGGAACAAGGAGAAAAAATTCCTCTCTACCCCAAAGCAGCCAGTTACAGAATTCTGGTGCCTTCAGAAATTTTTGATTTTGTGGCCCTTAGGAAATGTAGATAAAAGTCTGAACTTACAGACCTTCATCCAATTGAAAGCTCTATTTCCAGATTCATCCATCTTTTGTGTAGATGGGAAGCTCTGAATGAGGCAGCAGAATACATAAGTACTGCAAAAGCTCCAGGGCAAATGAGTAGTGGGCAGAGGGAGAAGAAACCATGTGACCAATCATGGCTGAAGCCCCTTGGGAGTGGGGCTGGGAACTCCACTTCTGATCTTACTGGAGGCAACTTTTCTCCCTCCCAAGGATACAGAACAGCTATCACATTATCCTAACTGAGCAACTGGTAGGTCTTTATGACTTTTATCTACACAGAGGTGCAGAGCATCACAATAGTCACAATAGTCAGTAGTGACTATTGTGACTATAGTCACAACAAAGGGAGGAAAAAATGGCAGGAGCAGATGAACTGCACAAGAACAAAAATGATGGTTTGAGAAAATATCTCTCAGAAGAAGACGAATAAAGGGGAAAATAGACAACCTAGCAAGAGCACCAGGATTCCTGGATTACTGCTGCTTGTTCAGGGCTCCACCTAATCCAGAGAGAAATCCAGATCCCAGTGAAATCAGCTGTCATTTTGATGCTGATGTTAGTATGGATATATATGCACAAAGCACTTCCCTACTTTCTACCTCAGTTTCTACATCTCTAAAATAGAGTGTAAGCTTTAAACACATTATTTTTTCAGCTTCTGTGAGATTCTTAAATGGGCAAAGATACTATGAAATTTCCATACTGAGCCAAATCGGAGTTTAATCAGAGTTGTCCTTAGTGTCAGCTAGGGATCTACAGGAGTAAAGAAGTTTGACTTGAGCATTAGTTTGTATATGAAGAATGGAATCTTTACATTGGTTTGCTCAGGGGTGAGACGCACCTAATGTTCATCATTTAAAACAGTCAGGTACGTGGCAATTTAACCTTTCCAACTCTGAAAGAAAACACCAGATAGAAAGAGCACCTTCTGAGACTTGAGGATGAAAAGGAAGAAGGGGATGAGGGGATACATTTTCTTTTGCTTTGCTTTCAAAAATGTAAAACCTTATTCAGTAACCCAAGATGTTCTGCAAGTTAAATGTGTTAAAATATTAAACGTTCTTCCTGTTAAAATCAGTTCAAGCATATACCTTGTCTCTGGCATTCTATATGTAGGTAGCTATTGTTGTGACTGATGGACGTCCCCAGGACAGCGTGCAGGAGGTGCCAGCACGGGCCAGAGCAGCCGGCATTGAGATCTTTGCCATCGGCGTTGGCCGGGTGGACATGCACATCCTGCGGCGAATTGCTAGCGAGCCCCTGGATGATCATGTGGACTATGTGGAGAGCTATAGTGTCATAGAGAAGTTAACTCACAAGTTTCAAGAAGCTTTCTGTGGTAAGTCCTTCCTACAACCCCTGAGTTCCTAGCCAAGAGATACAAGAGGCTGCCAAAAGGTTTTCCACATGGAAATTTTATATGTAACAAGCCTTTATCCTTCCAATCCCTTGTTCCAAAGACTTGGATCCACAGGAATAGCAAATAGTATAGAAGATGGATGTTCTCTGAAGGTACCTTTCAAGAGATGCATGGGAATTTCATTTTTCACTTAAAGAAGTCTGCAGACTTCATTTGCACAGAGGAATTTGTAAACATGACCCATGTACTTCCTGAGGCATAGAAGAAAAAAAGGATTACATGCCCTTTAAATAAATAAATTCATGATCCTTATGCTTTAACCCATGCGGGCACTTTTTAGCATCTGGCTAGTAATTTCCCCCACCAGCACTGTCACCTGAATTCCCAGCTAAGCATGGGCAGGTTTCACTTCCCTCCTAGAGGCTGAAGCCTCTGTGCTTAACTGTGCTGTTTTTCTTGCATATTCTTTGAGGCACGGAACTCTCCTGGTTGAAACTGTATCTAATGCCATTATGCAGAATATATAAAAAGTGCCTGATTATTCTGCAAAAATATATTCACTCCAGCATGAGCCAGTGAATGGAGTGAGAAAGCTGCACTGCTTTCAAATATGCCCACAAGACTGTAAGAGATGGTCTATAAATATCCATTTTATATGTCAGAAAGAAAGGCCTGGGGGCTTCACACATCCATCCTGCCAAAACACAGATGTGTGCCAACACCTTTTAAAAAGTGTGATGCCTATGGCGAGGCACTGTAAACACATGCACGCACATGCACAGATGGACCTGCAAAACTCTTTGAGACCAAGAGGTGTAAAATTTCATGATTCAACTTTCAGCCTGAAAATACTGGGAGTGAGCAGTTTTGCAACAAGGAAAATTTCCTTCACTGTAGAAATGAGGGAACAGTTGACTCGAAAATTAGTCATATTTTAATTAGGTGTCACTCCACTAGAAGTTCACGAAAGAGCAGATCAAGTGCTACATACTAAGGGGAGTAATGACAAAATAGCTATGAATATTAGTGAGCATTTTATTTTGGCTGCCCTGGAGTCAGGAGTCAGCCAGACATGGAGAGGCCTGATACATGTTTTGAAGTTCTGGCATTAGTGACATTCAGAGAGAGAGAGAGAGAGAGAGAGAGAGAGAGAGAGAGGAAAATTACCTCCTCCTTTCTGTGTCTTGTTTTTCAAATGTGAGAACAAAGTTCTCCCCTTGGTAAAAGCCTTCAGAGGTACATCCAAGGGAAGCACTGAGCTAAGGATTAATACAGCTAGCAGAGAACAGCACTGTATTAACTGCCAAGTGGGCTGTTATTGTGCTATGCAAGCAGCTGCACAAAACCGTACTCGGTCGGAGATAAACCCAAACACCACCTGCTATTGTGAAGCAAAAATTTGTGACTACTGCCAAGCAGGGAGAATGGTGCAGCATTGTACAAACTGCATCCCATAATGCTTAAAAACTCACAGGAAGAAGGAGGAGACCCTTCACAATCAAGCTTTGTTTAAGCATGTAAGATTTAAGTATTCTGCATAATACAACCTGAGAGCCCAGTTTAACAGTCATTTTCTAGGTTAGTAATATCACTAATGATAAGTGCCATATACATGCTGGAAATACCTTCTCATGTTGGCATAAGAGCATGCAGAGCTGTGTGTTGGAAAGGCCAAAGGAAGCAAAAAGAATGTATGAGGACAGCACAGTTGAAATAATGAACAGAATCCTCTTAACTTTGAAAGACTTATCACCACTTCTCATTGTTTCTTTAGGCCCAGAAATGCTCAGCTTTCTGCACAATTTCTCCAGTGTTTGTAAATGAATTTGCTCCAACCAAATCTGTTTATTTTTGAGTTTGCTTTCCATGATCATTGCTATAGCTCTGACAACACTGTCAGTCACTGAACGCCACTGGCTCAAATTGCTGCAATTCAGCTTCTGTTTGCTTAGCATCTCAGGAGTAAAATACAGGTAAAAATCAGCAGGAACAAATATTAGCAGAGAGTGAATTTGAAATACCTACTTGCAAGGGCAACTGAAGTGAATTCCAAGTTTGCTTGGACATGAATTCCACCTGAGAATTTCAGCTGCACATGGGACTGAAATCATTAATCATAATTGCCCTACACAGCTGAAAAAAAAATGGGTATTGGCCAACATAGGTGGTAGTTTGGAAGCCAATTCTCATTCTGCAGTTTTGGAGGGTGAAGTATAGTGTGATATGCCCAGGAGAGAGTTGAGGTTTGCGTTTTGAGGTGGGTTTTCAGCACATAGACTACTTTGAGTCCTGGAAGTGCCTGAGTCAGGAGATTTGTGAAAATTTCTCCTTGCTTCTTGCATCTTGGTTACCATCTCAATATAATGACTTCCTGCTGCATTGTCCTGCTGTAGATTTAGATATTACTCTGCTCTAGTGTATAGAATGAGAGCTTTGGTCCTGTATCTCTGTAGCCTCTGGGTTGAGAAGCCTTAGCATGATCTCTGACTTGAATCTACACCTTCTCTTATAGTGGTGTCTGATCTGTGTGCCACTGGAGATCATGACTGTGAGCAGATCTGTACAAGCATCCCAGGTTCATACAAGTGTGCTTGCAAAGAGGGTTTCACATTGAACAGCGATGGGAAGACCTGCAGCGGTATGTAATGATTTTCAGTCGTGCTGAGCTGAGCTGTGTTCTGCAGTTGTAGGACTGGGAGCCACTGAGACATGGTGGACATATTCTGTTCAGAAAAGTCTGAAGATGAAACAGTATACTTAGCAAGATTTCTTTTTGAAAAAGTGAGAATAAATGAGTGTGAACTGGTGCTGATTTTTTGCTATTTTATTAGCAATAAAATGCCACTAGAGTTATGCTCTTCTGCATAATTAATTAAAGTCAGGTAGTTGCTATCTTCTTTTGTCCTTTTCTTGCCCTTCAGCCTGCAGTGGTGGGTCAGGATCTGCTCTGGACCTTGTTTTCCTGATTGATGGCTCCAAGAGTGTACGGCCTGAAAACTTTGAGCTTGTGAAGAAGTTCATCAACCAAATTGTGGAATCACTCGATGTGTCAGACAAACAGGCCCAAGTCGGCCTGGTTCAGTATTCCAGTTCTGTCAGGCAGGAGTTCCCTCTTGGGCAGTATAAGAACAAGAAGGACATCAAAGCTGCAGTCAAGAAAATGGCCTACATGGAGAAAGGAACAATGACAGGCCAGGCTCTGAAGTATCTCGTTGACAATTCCTTCTCCATTATCAATGGAGCTAGGCCTGGGGTTCCCAAGGTGGGCATAGTCTTCACTGATGGACGGTCACAAGATTACATCACTGATGCTGCTAAGAAAGCCAAAGATCTAGGTAGGTCTCCTCAATTCTCAGTGGCTTGTTTTTCCCTTGGACCAGACATTGCATCTATTACCTATCTAGGTATGAACTAATTCCCAGAAGATCTCTCTTATCTAAGATAGATGCAGGTTGCTACAGAGTGAATTTATCCAGACATTGTCTTAATATTCCTGCATGCTTTTACAGAACATGCAGCATTTGTGGCTGGGCATTTAGACAAAGTTTGGTTTGCCAACAGGTGGTTTTCACTCCCACAGCTTCACCTCTGTCTTTGATCTAAGTCCACTGGGTGTTTCTTTGCTGATCAAGATGAAGTTTTACACATTTGTAAAGGGATGCATAATGGTTCAGCATGCACACTTCACCCCAAATGCGCAGGAAACTTAGAGGAAAGCCAAGGATATGTCTGATGTTGGTAATGAAAGTCATTCCAGCATCAGCAGGACTCATGGCAAGGCAAAGACAATTTGCAGAGAGCCCCTCAGAGAACAGCTGGAATCACAGGGCCAAGTACAGCTTGTCTGTAACAGCCGTAAGGCGTAGGAAAGAAAAAGAGGAAATAATAACAATAAAAACAGAATCACAGATTATGGGAATATCTATGGACTCTCTGTCTGAAGTCCAGGCACACTTGCTCATTGATACTTGCACAAGGATTATGCCTCTTCTAAATCACCTTGTACCCATCCAGGAAGCTCAAATTGACATATCTCTGACCTGGTCTCTCTGCCTGCAACCTGAATATATACAACTCCTGGTCAGTGATATTCTACAAAAAATGACCAACACAAAATGTGATAAGCTGAGCAAGAAAGCTGCACTGGATGGAAATATATTGATATATGGAGATATTTTGGTATATTTATATATTTAAACATATTGAATCTACATACCTTGAGATCTGCCACTTTGCTGACCTTCTGCTGAACAAGTTCCCTATGTCCTGCAATCACTCTGTTAAAAATAGTCACATATATATCACACTACAGTTTTCACCTGGGATTCTGTAATGGTAACACATTCCTAACTTAGATGGTCTATTCTTGGGATGTGTATTCAGAATTCTGGAAATTTTAATAGCCCTATTCCAGAAGGCCTGGCAGCCAAGGAACTTCCAAGCACAATAATCAAGTTTGCAAGAAGAGGAGTTCCCAACACCCAGCTTGACCAAGCAATGCTCCTACATTGGTAACTGAAAACATTGTGTGGTTCCTAGTCAGCAAGGACCTACAGGTTGAGCAGGGTCTGCTGCTGTAGCAACAAGAGGGTCAATGGCTCTCGGTCTAACAGGCTCTCACTGCTTGCAGGCTTTAGGATGTTTGCTGTGGGAGTTGGCAATGCAGTGGAGGATGAGCTCAGGGAAATAGCTTCAGAACCTGTGGCTGAGCACTACTTCTACACGGTGGACTTCAGAACTATCAGCAAGATCGGGAAGAAGCTGCAAATGAAAATCTGCATTGGTGAGAGTGGGGTCCTGGGGGGAGGAGAAAATATAGTCACAGTGTTTAGACATTATATAAAGCTCTTCGTTCTCACTGTATTGAGTTTGCAGAGTACTTGAAAGGATCATGGGATACCCAACTTTTGGCAGTAGCCGAAATTGCAGACACCCCCAAATCTCATTCATCTCTCCCTCTCACTACTTCCTCTGCTTCTTTTTCTCTCCATTCTTCTCTACTTTCTTTTTTTCTTTCCCTTTCAGTAAATAATTCAAACTCGAACAGGTACTGAGCATGACTAAAGGTGTATGAGGAATGAAAAAAAATGTTCTGAGAAGAGAATCCAAGGGTGCATATATCTGACTTAACTTGAAGATCAAGCCAAAATAAGGTGTCTGAGTTGAAACTAGTATGCCACTGGCTGCTTCTACAGTCATACAGGCACCACAGAGGTGACAGACTGCAAATTAAAGCAGGCATCTGGTATATTCCACATGGCCCTTAGGTGTTTAGGTGTTTAAATCTGAGCAATATGAATTCTAAATTGCCTCAGCTTGGGATAGCCTCAAAAAGCAAAGGTCGAGAGGGGACTAAGTAGGATATAGACATGGTAAGAGGAGGTAAAGAATAATACAAAAGCTAAAGGATAATGTTAACCTGTGAGTAAACTGGGTCTCTAAAGTAGAAAATAAGTACTATGTAATTTGGGGAATTTATTTAGAAGGAAGAATAATGTCTCCAATGAGATACACTGGTCTTTTGCAAGGGATCTGCTTGCTCCAGCAGACCACTTTATATGAAGCCAAATACTTAGGCTTTATTTAACACATGCATACCTTGAAGCACTTCTGAGTGCTGCACTGCAGTAATCTGGCACCCTCTTGTTGAGTCTGGGTTTTTAGGAGTCCTTTGGATCCCTCCTCCTGCTAAGTAAACATGTTTGCTTCCAGTTATCAGCTAGACGTCCTTCCTGCAGCTGTGATTGGGCTGGTTTGTTTCCCAAGGGAACTCTGCCAAGCTCAGCTCTCCTTCTCATGGACATGCAGATCTGCTGTTGAAAGCTCCATGGTCCCATGAGATGCAAAGATCTCTACTGCTGTCATGCCAGATGCACAAATGCTTGAGTGCTCAGGTGATATTGAGATACTCAGCATTAACAGGACAAAATAATACTACCTAAACATCAATCTCCTTTTTCCCTTTCTTTGCCATTTCTAGTATTATCTTCTGCCAAGTCCAAGAGATACCTATATAAAATTAATGGGTCAGTAGTTGCTAGCTCATCTGTCTTTCCTCCTGAACATATCTTAGAAAAAGTACTTGGAAAGTTAGGGACTAAGCTTGTCTCATAAGAAAATCAAGTTTGGTTCTTGCTTTACTACAGATATCCTGAATCATTCCAGATAAGGGTCCTCTTGGCAATGTGATTTAAACCGTCCTTTTTTTTTCCTCCTTCCTTTTATCAGGTTGTTGAGTTGATTCATTGTCATTTTATAAATATCTCTTTTCTTTTCCCAGTCATCCCAGTTATCTTTTTTTCTACTTTTTTGAATAAATTATTTTTTCTTTAAGAACATATCTAAATCACTGTCATAGTTTACCAAACTGAGGAAAGCATATTGCTCTGCCTACTCAAGAAATGAAATATTGCAGCAAATACCAAACAAGCCTTGACACCCAGATGGCAAACAGTGCCTCCAAATTATTTTTTCACAGTCTGACATGTGCCTGCTTATGAGCAGCAAAGACTATTACCCACCATGACGACACTATTGAGAAGAGAACTGGAAAACAGATTGTTTTGAACACTGTATCTGACCAGTTTCACATTTTGGGACCATCAACAGTAGAGATCTGTAGGCTTTCAGAAAACTAGAAATACAGGAAACCATTCTGTTTTTGGACAGACCTTGACCTATACAGCAAAAAAAAAAAAAAAGAAAAAAAAAAGTGATGCTCTCTTGTCATCTGAGGTTAAAGGCAGAAGTAATCAGTCAGGTAGTTAGGAAGAATGATAGTTTCAACTTCTTCATGCTTGTTCTAAAGAAAATAAGAATTGCTTATTTCAGTTGCCACAGTGATTTTGATTTAATCCTTTTGTGTGAGGCTTTACTCATCTTGATATTCTGTTCCACAGAGGAGGATCCATGTGAATGTAAATCTATTGTGAAGTTCCAGACAAAAGTAGAAGACCTCGTAAAATCACTGCAACAGAAATATATCCTTTGGGGAGCTATCTTGGTCCAGAATAGAATGGGTTGAGCTGGGCTTTCTTGGGGGGAACCAAAGGGTAAGTCTACCTCTGAGGAAGCTCTACCAATGAGGGAAACAGACTAGATAAGTGGTCAGGAAGCTGGAGATGAGACACTTGCATCACGAATAGGTGTCTAATGGGAAGGATCCCTGCTTTAGAGTGCACAGCTACCAATCTGGTACACAGAACAAGAAGCAGGTGAGAAACACTGGAGCCAAGGGAGAATATGAGCTGTATGTAGCAAAGCCTCAGTCATTTTTTAGGAGATGATTAACTGCTGCCAGTGTGACAAAAGTGTGCAAGTGTGTGAATGGTTCATTCGTGGGATAACGTTGCTATATCTGTAAACTCCAGAGTCCTGTGAGCCAGGCCAGAACATGAGGGCTGAGAGCAGGAGTAGCTATCGTTGGACTGCGAGCAGAGGAAACCACTGGTTCTTGTATGCGGTGGACTCAGTCAGTCATTACAGTGCAATGGGTGGAATTCTCACCCATAGCTAGACAGAGTCTTCATTCCTGGGAATAAGGAGAAAATGTCCTTTTAAAAGTTAATTCAGGCACAGATTGCTGTATTTTCTATACCAGTTACTCTGGATATTTTCTTCTCTTTAGTTCAAATTGAGTAAAATCGATGTCTTATATTATGCAAAAGGTCAGAGTAAATCAGTAGATCTCATCCAGTGGGTTGCAGCTCCTAGGCACGTCATGAAAAGCAATTAGCAAAAAGAGCAGAAAATTGTGATATGGTATAACTCTAAGAAAAGGTCTCTGCTCCACTCTTCACACAACCCATACTGCTCAAGGTCAAGAATTCTCTGTCAACCACTTAAAAGATGCTCCAATCATTCCTACATTTTTTTTACTTTTCCCCTTATAGTAAATTTAGAGGTGTATGAGAGAGTGTGTGTATATGTGAACATTTTTTACCTTAAATAAAAGTCCATCAACTTGAGCAATTCTGAAAATGCCAGAGTAGATGATGATGACAGCATTCCTCCTCTACCTGCTCCCAGCAGGGCACCTCCAGTCATTATCAGTGCTGTAAGTTAGGGAAGGACTTGAACAATGAATCACTAATGTGCACTATCATTTTTTCCCCTTAACTCTTACTCACTGGAAGCTGTGGCAAAAAGGATCGAAGCTCTGGAAAACAAGATCATCTAAGATCCTCGAAGTCTTTTATTTCCCTCCTTTCTTATGTAATGTAACAAAACCAGAAGTCCTTCATCTATACCAAGGGCAGCTCAGCCACAGCCTTACGTCCAGCTTGTATTTTTTAAAGATTCTAGTCTACCTGCATTTGTTTAAAAGAGAAGAAGTATAACAGTAGGACACAGATTGTATAATGGGCAGAACACTGCGTGTAACTGAGAGCCAGACCATGCTAATGTTCATTGCATCATATAGAGTGCATACATAAAAACCTGGAAAAGATTTGGTTTTGATTTAAAGCTTAATATATAGGTGTGTGTGTGTGTTAATACATACTTGATTATGAGTTCTGTGAATCCTTGCTGTGTTATTCTGCATCTTTTGTTTCTATGCATAAGATAATTTAATTTAAAAGTCAAAGTGACTTAAAAACAACTCAGATTTCAAGTGCAAAAAATCAAAGCAGCTGATCAGCTTATTGTTGTAAGCATGAAGCATTTGTCAGTAAGTAGATGAAATATAATGATCTCTGACTGTGCATTGCAAATATGATAGGATAAGATGCTGCTGCTAGTTGGGTTTATCCATAGCTACTGTACAATACAGGAAGAAAACAAGCTTATTTTCTCCTATCTAGCAAATGCCTTCTCAATGTTTCAGTGAACCAGCATCTGTCTGAGATGGACCTGTCTTGGTTAAGTCCTGATAACGTGCAATGAGCCTGTGGTTGTGGCTCTGCATAACACAAGGTAGTACTGCTAATACCAACCCCAGGAGATGCGCCACTCCTCAGCTCTCTGGTCTCCAATCCACAGCTCGAAGTGGAAAACTTCATCAGCACCTGAAACATGGAGAACTGCTGATGAAGCTGCTGCCAATGAAAGTGGTGCCTTCATCGCTGTAGCGACCAGAAGCGAACTAACTTCTTCCATAGTCCACACCTCAAAACTTCTTCAAAGCCGATAAGTTAACCTCAGCATGAAACACTTTGATTCTGTATTTCTTTTCCTCCCTTCCTGGATCCCCATCACTGTCAAGACAAAAAGAAAGTGGTGGGGACTGGAAGCTTCTGGCACTGCCTGTCTCCTATAGCTGTAGTCTGGCTAGGAGTGGAGTGGAGTGGTCAGGGAGGCCATGTTTGTGCGCAGCATGGCGGAGCACTGTTGAACGTGAGCACAAAGGGGTTGGTTTGGAAAGTTTTTCTTGTTTTTTTTTTTTTTGTATTAAAATATTTATACTTGAGACTATGTGAAAAGCTTTTCAGAATAACTTGGCCTGTTCAGAAATGTCACCGTAGCAGATGTTTTGAAGTAAAAAATAAAACTTTGCTGAAAACCTTAGAAGATTCTTTGTGTATGCTTTGATGTAGTACCCTTGCAAACGGCACCCCTTGCTACTCTTGGTAGCAAGTAGGAAAGTCTCAAAATTCATATTACAGCCTTTTAGTTCATTGCAAAGAAGAAGCATATCCATCTAAGACACTTGCCTCAAAAGCTGACAACAAAAATCCTTTATTACACTCTTGAATTTACAGGAGCAAGTCTACACATTTCCAAGCATTATCTCAAGGACTAGAATTAGATACTGAAGAGTTGGGAAAAACAAGTCCTCTCAGTCAAGTCCTGTGTACCCCAAGTCCCAGAGTAACCCCTATGCAGTCCTACGGATAAGATTTACATCTTCTTTATCATATAAAGTTCATATCTCCAAGCTTGAGCTATTTACATTACATTTTTTTGTAAAGCCAATGAACAGAAATAGACACCATAGAGCACAACTGTCAGGATGATGTTCATATTTTGAAGGACTAAACCCAATCCCAGCCATGTCAAGGGAAGGTGATCAGCATAAGGCCATGTGTATTGCCTAGTGACTCCAAAAGTCTAGGACATGAAAGGTTGAACTACCAACCATTGTTCCTTCAAATATCTGCAAGCCACCTTGGGAAGAAACTAAGAGACATCGTGGTTTAGGTCACCAAGTTCCCTGTTCCAGAGTAACGCTCCTGGCGACTCCAGAGAGCTGCTCCTACTGCAGACATAGGAGTTCCTGTGTTTATGGAGTGCACACCACTATATCTTTCACTAGCTATCTTTTCAGAAGTTTATCTGTCCATATATCCATCTAAATAACCAAGCAGCAATCCTCAGGTCTGCCATGATCTTTAGACATAAAAAAAACTCTAGTGAGATGGTGCCATCAGACCTAGCTCTCACAGTAAAGAAGACATCATAGGAATAAGCCATAAATTACTGCAAATATAAGCTGAAAAGGGTGCTTTTCCACTCTATGAAGAGTTCCTACATAGACAGGAGAGCCAGGATATATTATCAGGCACAGAATTGCTTCTGTAAATAATATTTTGTTTTGTGTTACAGATAAAGCAGAACTAAACTAATTAACAATTATTTTTCCTCCCTTCTCACATCTTCTGGCTTAAAAGAACGAAAGAGCTCTTGTATCTCCAAAGTCAATTAGTCACTGAGATAGAACACAGGCTTTTGACATTGGAATTAGACTTCATTAATGGATCACCACTGGCAGCAAGATGGAAACCTCCTAGATGAGTCTCTGCTTGCATTTTCTTTCAGTTAATTACAGGCTTATCTTGGAAATGAAAGATGTTGCATGCAATGAAAAAACTCACTTGCATGTCCCAAATTGTGGAGTGATGAGCTTGCACTGAAATGAGCTTACTCTGGAGTTCATAAAATGGTACTTCTGGAACCAAATAACTTATTTTTCCTCTCTCTGCTGTTGAACATTCGAAATATGACCAGTCCTTCTCACCACATTGTCACCAAATCCCAAGTTCTTTTGGCAAAAGAATTTATGAAATGTTTTCTTTTCTATTTGGAAAATAACCTGAGCAACTTTTCCCTTTCCACCACAGAAGATCAAAGACACCACCTCTATCAAAGGCAGGAGGAAAACAGCAAAGCTCTTTTGCCAATAAGATCCTCCTGAGGAAGGATTTTTTTTTCATGGAGGTCATTGATATTATAATACAAGGCCATTAGTAATCAAAGAAAAAGTGATTTCAATTAAACAAAGAGCTTCTAGTTTGGTAACATCTTTCAAAAGGAATTTGTAACACTAATACAGTATAATTGCTGCTAATAAATGGGTAGGTAGCAGAACAGTTAGTATTATGGGTGTTTTTTTTTTTTTTTTTCTCCAAGCAATAGCAGATACTGAAAGCTGTCTCAGGCTAGGCTAAATTTACTGTTCCTTGTGAAAAGCAGTGTACTTACCCTCTCCTAGTCCTCAGAGGTAATTCAGTTTAAGGTGCTAGTAAATCTATGTTGTGCAAATTAGTATTTATCATTTTATGTTCAACTTGGGAAGAGGCTTCAACCAGCCCATGTATGTTACCCTGTGTAATTCCTTTAACGATGAACTTGCAAAGGATGAGAGCCCTGGTGATAAATTTTAAACTTTATCCTTTTTAAACTGTCTCCTTCAGAGACTCATTTGGATTCATTCATTTTTTAACCAGCAATCATGCCAGGAACTCTTGTGAGTTTCACAGTTGCTGTGGCATTTTATGGTTCCGTGGCCTGCATCCCACTATTATGCATTTATCTACTGCATTATTTAATCTATGTTCTGCATAAATTAGACTAGGGATAACAAGAAATTCTGAACCATTAACTGTCCCCAGGTAGTGCTGTGTTCTTTGGTGGAGATCAAATTAATATCCCCCTTCTATGGAAGGAGAAAATGAATCCCAAAGGTACTGAACTAGCAGCAACATAAAGCCCTTGAGGAATTGTACAAGGTGCTGTACAGATGGATAGGGAGGGGAGGCCCTTGCTTTCCCAGATTACCCTCAAGGCAGAGGAAGGTCAAGACATATAGGTAATCTTATACCTGCGCCACAAAGTGCATTACTTCATACTTGAGGCATATTCACACGTTCTTGACTCTGGGTGACCAGGACCTGCCTCTGGGTCACAGAGGGCAGCTTTCAGCACAGCCTGCAATGGAAAGATCACACCAAAATTTCTAAAGTCACAACAAACTGACTCCCAACCTCTGCTCACACCCTGTGCTGATCTCTGTCTTGGACTGATGTGATCTTCCTCAGCTGAAAATGCCGAAGTTTAGGAGAAAGAAAGGTAGAAAGTCTGACCTATGCTTGGAGTTGAACTTCACAGATGAGGCCAAAACAGGTTCATACCGTGTGCAGCTCTTCTTTTTCACCACCATAGAAGGGGTCATAGCAAGTAGCAATGAACTCATCGTGAATTCATGTGTATGGGTGCCTTTGCGTACAGTGAGGAGCACAAATGACATTTCCAGGGCAGCAGCAGGGGTTGTGCTTAGTTGTGTCAGGACTCCCTGGAGTCTCAAGGACTCTGTTGCTAGACCATTTAGACAAGCATATAATTAATAAATTAGCTCCAGAGGGGAAAGCACTTAACGACCTTTCAGACTGTCAGACTTCAACATAACCTCCCGACATATCGTTTTTTTAACAGTATACCCACAAATTAGTCACAGTTTCACACTGGCTAATAGGGAGAAAGTAATTATTGGCATTACTGCTAGAGCTCATAGCAAAGGCTACTTGGGGAAATAAAGACTAATTTGAAATATATGTAGATGGGAGGTCTTGATATCAGCAGGTATAAGGGGAAAAGAAACTTCAGAGCCAACATAAGTGTGGGAAGAGAAATATATTAGAAGTGAAAATGTATTTGGAATTGAGGCCCAATCTCTTTAGCACAGAGAACAGAGAGGAAACCTTCTGAAACCCAGGGGTCATTTCCTTCCAATAATATCTGAATGAAGTTAGCAACAGAAAGGATTTGTTTGTTTGTTTTTCAGGGAGAGAGGGGAGTTCCATAATCAGAATTGGTCCAGTCTGAGATGAGGTTGGCATTAAGACAATAAACCTGCATCTGCTTAAGACAGACCTTCATGTTCCTAGCTGAGGAATGTGAAGATGGGGACATCTTCAACTGTTTGAACATCTGGCATGCACATTCCGGACCCCCAAACCTGCACAGGAATGGAATACAGGAGCTGGTGGATGTCTGTTGGATATTTGATTGTGGCAGGATCCACCCTCAGCCCCTTCCAGGATGTCCAAAGGGGAGTGGGACACTTGGCACACTGGCCATTAGAAGTGACCAGACCCAGAGGACAGGATACCTGGAATCCTCTTCCAGATGGCAGTAAGTACTAAGTACTGGGGGTTTTGAGGGCAGATCTGCATTATACTGCTACACTGTATAGTATCTTACAAGGCTACATTTCTTACAC